AGGTCGAAGCATGTCACTGCTCTACCCAACAAACTCCAATGGCTCCTTATTACCTCTAGGATCACTTAAAAACTCCTCTGTTTAGCACTTAAAGTCCACCACAACCTGCTCCCAGTTTACCTTTCTAATCCAACAGAGTTGGTTCTAATGCCAGTACCTTGTTTGTTCAAGCTCGGCGTTGGGACAAAATGAAGCACTTGCAAGTCATTGAACAATTAACCAAAGGAGGCTTATTTTGCCCTAACATAGCAAGAATATGTAGCAAGGATACAGTGGCACTTAGATTCTCTGGAGGTTCTCCATCCCTCATCTCCATATGGAAATATATCTAGTTAAAAGGGCAGAATAGGGTGATTCCTATGGTCTTCAGACATACACCAAGTGTGCTCCCTCTCCCCTCAAGAAGAGCCCAGATTCCATGTGAGTAGGACTTTTGTAATGCCCTTAGGAGACCAGGAAACATTTTGGTTTGAAAAGTTATAGGAATGGTGAATAGAGCCATAGTGAAATAGAGTAAAATCCCCTTTCTAGGAGCATTCACAGAATTGATTTGATTATGTTAGCAGAAATGGAAAGGTGGGAGGGTGAGGGCAGAAGGACAGGCAGCAAGAAAGTTGGTGAGGTCCCAAGTAGTGAGTTGAAGGACTGATGGAAATAATCCTAGACATAGTAGGCAACTATAGTGAGAATCCATTAGTAATCCTGCCTTAAGGCAAGAAGTCCCAGGAACAAAAGAGTAGCTTAAATTTTTAAAGAGTCTTTGCTTCTCCAGTGTCTAGCACAGTGACTGGCACTTAATAAACAAATATGTTGATTGGCTAATTGAAATATAGAATTCTATTCATTAACTTACTAAGGCATTTTGCCTCTTGCTTAAAACCATGTATAGTTTGGATGATATGAACTGGAAAAGAAATGAGAGCTGAGGAGTAGATACTTGTAAAGAAAATTAACAGCCTAGCATAAGAGGTACAAAACTTTAGCCAAGTAGCAGACTTCTTGAACATCAGAATAGACCAAACAAAGGTTAATGACTCTGTGAAAAACAGTCAAAAGACTGAAAAAGTAGAAGAAAATATAAGATATCTCATATAAAAAATAACAGACCTGGAAAACACATTAAAGAGAAATAAATTAAGAATGACTAGACTACCTGAAAGCCATGATTAAAAAAGAAATCATGAAGGAATACTACCTAGATCTCTAGGAACCAGAGGTCAAAGTAAAAATAGAAAGAATTCACCAAATATCAACAGAAAGAAATCCCAAGTAGAAATTCCAAGGAACATCAAAGGCAAAATTCAGAGCTTTCAGGTCAAAGAAAAAAAAATATTTCAAGGAGCCAGGAAAAAAAGTGTTCTAGTATAGAGGAATCATAGTCAGTATCACATAAGATCTAGCAACTACAACTATAAAGAAGTGGAAAGTATGAAATACAATATTCCAAAAGGCAAAAAAGGCTTATATCCAAGAATTATTCATCCAGAAAAACTGGAGGGGGAAAATGGACCTTTAATGAAATGGGGGACTTCCAAGCATTCCTGATGAAAAGAATTCAATTGAGTAGAAACCTTGAAATACAAACATGAAAAGGCAAATTCAAGTGAGCAATCAGGAAAAATCAGGAAAAGATAGAGTGTTTACATTCTAATGTGGGGAATAAGATAAGCATCCCAGTAAGGGCAGCTAGATAGCACAGTGGATAGAGGGCTGGGCCTGGATTCAAGAACACACATCTTCCTGAGTTCAAATCTGGCCTGAGACACTCAATAGCTGTGTGACTCTGGGCTAGTCACTTAACCCTGTTTGCCTCAGTTTCCTCATCTGTAAAATGACCTGGAGAAGAAAATGACAAACCACTGCAGTATCTTTGCCAAGAAAAGTCTGAATGGGGTCATGAAGAATTGGATAAGATTAAAAAACAACTGAACAACCACAAAACCAGCTGCATGGTATGGTGGATAGAGTTCTGGGTCTAAAGTTAGGAAAACTCATCTTCCTGAGTTCAAATCTGGCCTCAGACACTTGCTAGCTCTGTGACCCTGGGCAAATTACTTCACCCTATTTGCATCAGTTCCTCATCTGTAAAATGAGCTAGAGAAGGAAATGGCAAACCACTCCAGTATCTTGGCCAAGAAAACTCCAAACAGGGTCATGAAGAGTCAGACACAAGTGAAAAGTGAATCAACAAAAAACAACAACCAGAACAATAAGGTCATCAGAGGTTATAGAGGAAGTCAAATTAGATGGAGGGCCTGGGAATGATTTTATTGTATTTTTATTTTATTAAAAGAAAGGAGAGGAGAAAGAGGAAAGTATACACTATTGATGAAAAGGGAAGGCATAAGGGGGACTGTTTTATTTCTCATAATCAGGAAGTACAAGTGGAAGTCTATACAAATGATGAAGCAGAAGAAGTAGCTATCAGCTGAACCTCATTTTCATTTGAACTAATCAAAGGAAATTGGAACAAACATAGACATAAAAAGCCTGGTGGAAAAATACATTCAATTCAACAGAGGAAAAGAGGGATAAAGGAAGAGAGAAAAGGGAGAATAAGAAAAAGGGTAGTTCTAGGGAGGAATTAGTCATAAGCAAAACCAACCTTAATTTAGAGTAAAGATCACGAAGAGAAGTTCAAAAGCAAAGGATGGGAAGGTAAGAACCTTTGATTGGAAGTTGGGTGAAGAAGTAGAAACTGTTTGCATCAAGCATAGAACATTGGCATTAAGCGCACTACTGTTCCATACTTCTTCTCTATAAAGAGGGGATTTAAAGCAAAGAAAGAAAAGGCATAAGAAAATAGGTTGGAGGAAAATATTTAAAATTAAAGGTTTTGTTCAGGTAAACGAAATGTAGCTAAGATTAGAAGGGAAACAGTTAATTAGGAGAAGAGGGAGTCTACAGCAGGTTTCTCTGACAGAGGTCTCATTTCTAAGATGTATAAGGAGATGATTCAAATAAAAATAAGAGCCATTTCCCAAATGATAAATGGTCAAATTGACGGTTCTCAAGGGGAGACATCTAAGTTCTCTAGAGCCACAAAATTAAAAAAATATTAATGGAAAAATGCTCCAAATAATTTATAATTAAAGAAATACAAATTAAATCAATTCTGAGGCTTCACACAACCTGTCAGATTGACAAAGTTGACCCCTGGAAAAATGAAAAATTGAAATCTTGGAGAGGCAGCTGGAACACAGGCACATTGATGCACTTCGTAGGTATAAATTGGTACAGTCATTCTGGAAAGCAATTAAGAACTATGCCCTAAAAGTTACTAAATTGTGCATAACTTTCACCCATTAATATAACTAGTAGGTCTGTACTCCAAAAAGGTCAAAGAAAGAGGAAAAATCCCATATGTATAAAAATATTTGTAGTTGCTTTTTTGTGGTGGCAAAAAAACCTGGAAACTAAGGTGTGGCACACATCATTTAGGGACTGGCTGAACAAATTACTGTATAAAAGTGTAAGATAGTATTGGGCTTTAAGAAATGAAGAAAAGGATAGTTTCAGAGAAACTTGGGAAAAGATGTAGGGACTGATTCAGAGTGAAGTGAGTAGAACCTGAATAATTTATACTATAACATCAACATTGTATAAACAAACATTTTGAAAGACTTAAGAACTCTGATCAACACAATTATGGATTGTGACACCACAGGATTGATGATGAATACTACTCTCCCTCCTGACAAAGAGATGATGGACTCATATGCAGAAGAGAAGATCAAATGGTAAAGGAATGAGCATTTATAAAGCACCTATGTGTCAAGCACTGTGCTAAGAGCTTTTTACAGATATTATCTCATTTGATCCTCACAACAAGTCTGAAAAGTGGTAGCTGTTATTATCCCTATTTTATAGTTGTGGAAACTGAGGCAAACAGTTATTAAGTGACTTGCTCAGAAATACACAGCTAGTCAGTGTCTGAGGCTGGATTTGATCTCAGGTCTTTATGATTCTAGCCATAGTGCGCTATCCACTGTGTGATCTAGTTATCAGAATGAGACATATTTTTGGACATGGCCAATATAGGAATTTATTTTGCTTGACTATTCTTTCTTACAAAGGTTTTGCTTTTCTCTTTTCTAGAAGGGATAGGGTGGAAAGAGGAAAAAAATAAATGCTTGATAATTTTCAAAAATTAATTTTAAAAAGGATAGCTAGAACTTATTTATAATGAATTACATTAAAGAAATCTACATTCCAGAATCTAGAGTTGTTGTATGACAACTTCTATGTTGTTACCTACGAAGTATTAGGATCTTCCTCCAAGTAGTACTTCACATGGTTTATTAGCATGTTCTAAAATCCCCTTGTTATATGTGAACACATTTTATTTAGTCATCTGCTTATTTTTTATTTTCCTTCTCTGTGCATTTTTATTTCTGTCAAAAGACAATAATTTGGCTTAGATGCAATTAATCAAGAACAAATGAAGAACAAATTAAAAACTATTGTAATAGAAAATATTAACAAATTGAAAAATTAGTGAAGCAAGCAACTTATTAAAAAAACCTTCCAATTATGTGTTCAGGAAAAAAATATATATATATATATATTTTTTTTTCTTAATTTCTTAAGCCTCTTAGCTGAGTTTTAAGCTAGTTGCTTATCATACAATGCTGCTATCTTGAACTCCCTTAGGGGAATTAGATGGCTGTGATCTGCTATGTGCCTCAAGGCAAACCTCAAGTATTTCAAGGTTCATTAGGTAAGAAATTTAAACCAATAACATAGAGAACAGTAGAAGATAGAAAAATTGACTCATTTTATTATTTTTAGAATTAAATTAAAGTAAGGAATATCAACCCCAAACTGCCCATATTCTCTCTTTAGGTAAATTTATGTAACTATTCAATGTCATATATAAATTTTCAAGAAAGGTGGTATGATCACAGATTTTGTTAATTTTAAACTTAGTACATAAGACAACAGTCACTGAGTTACACTCTTTCGGATAATTTAAAAGATGATTTAATTTATGCAGTTACCTTCACCATTTGTCGATACTGTTTTCTTCCCATATAACCTCTCCACCATTTCTGTATAATTGTCATCATTTTGTTTAAATACCTGAAATGTTAATCATGAGATGATTTAATTTTTTAAAAGTTTTCAATAATTTTTTTTGGTAAAAAAAAAACTCATTGCTAAAACACTCAGAGTGTTTCAGAGTGTTGTATAATATTGACATTAAGAGATGTATAGAGTCATCTCTGGGGTGGAAACCATTTTGTTTTTAAGGCAGGAGAATTTCTTTATCCTTTCTCCACAGTCATAGCACCATAATGCCAGACCATGATAGCAGTAATGACATAGTATTGGTAATACAGACTCTAAATCCCATTCTACTCCTCCAATTCTCTCTACATCCCTTTTCACTATCCAACATGGAGGAGAGAATTGAGACAACCTGTGTTCACTTAAGAACTACTCTTCCTTTGGCAAGACTCCCATGGAGTCAGACCAGATTTCCAGATAGAGTAGTGAAATCATAAACTGTCAATTTTAAATCACAAGTACTGTAGTCAATTAGTTACACTAAATTATGTAATTTAAATGATCATGTAAATTATATGACATTAACTTCATCATTTGCCAAATATAATTAAGATTTTTGAAGGCTGTTTGTAAGTAGAAAATGTCAGTATTCATATTAAAGTCTATTGACATTTCACCTACAACACATAACTACAATGAATACTATAATTAATGCTTCCATCTTTATCCAGATAGCCAGTCAGTTTGTCCCACTGAGTTTTCAACTTCTAGAAATTATTGGATAGTCTTATATGACTTCATCTATTAGTTATACAATTCATCTACTGTCCATCATTCTTGCTATATGACCTACCCAACAGTGACAAACTGCCTCTGATAAATCTGCCATTTGTGGATTGCTAAAGTTCCTCAGTATGTCAAATCAATACACTTAGTTCTTTTAATGAGGAAACATCTTCAATATTAATATTTATTATTTTTCTAAAAAGAATATTTTCTAGTTTACTCTTCATGTCAATTTTAAAGGTTTAAAAAAGCCAAATAATTGCACGTTTCCAAAGATATATATATATATATATATACTTTATATGAAATAACTGAAATATCATTGGCAAAAATCAATATACCTGATATAGGCTCGTACTTGACATCCTCGAAACCAGCTCTGTATTTTAACTGCAGCCTTATATTCTTTTTTTCTATATTCATCTACAAACCTGAAAACATTGTTTTAAAAAGCATTCCATTAGTAATGGACATTTTAGTTTTAACATGTCAGTCTGTTAAACTTAATCTTTACTTTCTTTCATTAAAATAAAAACAATTCAAATGTCATTTTTAATAAAATTAAAACACTAAGTAAAGAAAGCATTTCAAATATCACATATTTCAAAATGAATCTTCTAAGAGGTCATCTGCTTTCAACAACTTTGCTTTTTCATTTTTATAATCACCTTTTTTGCAACTAATTAATTTATAAATATTTTTATCATGGAATAGAAATGAATATAGTATTATTCTTTTAGGATACCAATATGGATGTAATTAGGAACAAATTCTTTATCTCCAGATAGCTTGATTTTTCTGTTTAATTCCTGCAAACAAAATATGAAAGTTATGAATTTCTGCATTTTCCACTCCAGTGACCGAGTCAACTACTCCTAAATAAAATAAATCTATTACATAATGTCAGTCTAAATATAATCCTAAAAAAGGCCACTGAAGTTAAATGAGAAAGAAGTCAATGTTCTGATACTTATGAAGAATGTACTTAATAATCATATGTTGATTAAAATTGGAGAGTTTTAATTATCGTCTTAATTTTATTCACCATTGACATACCTACCCAAGCAAGCATTGTAGAATTATTCTGGCCACAACATAGTAAGCTAATGGATAATTCCTATGTTCCCCCAAGTAATCCCTGTCACCCAAATATACATCAGGAAATTGATTACTCCCATTTAGATAGCTATTTTCTAAGTTAGAGAAGGTAAGAAAGGTCAGAAAGTTGTAAACCATGCTTAACTCATTTCCACCTGCTTTCTCCCCCCCCCCCACACACACATCCTGGGTTTCCTTTTTTTTATTAAAATTCTTTTTTAATTCTTGTTCTATTTATCTAGCACCTAAGCACCCAATTAGATAAAAAGACTTGGTTTGACAGGGTGGAAACAATGAAATAAATACTGATTTCAAACTTAACTTTTAATCTCTAGGGAATGAAGCAGGCCTATTTTACCGAAAACAAAAGTAAAGCAATCTAGCAGCCTGGATTTTTGATGATTTATCCTCAGTGGACAAATTTAATTCATTCATTCATTAATGCCCCCACCCCTAATCTACATTGAGCTACTAATAGGATAATTCATAAACTGATTCAAAGCTTATTTATTGCTTGGGATCCTGGAAGTCTTGGGGAAAGAGTCCTCTAGCCCACTTTTGATGCATTTGGGATATAAGGAGACCAAACATTTTAAACTACTTTGAGTTAGTTTTTCCCAGCTTTGATCTTTCATTCATGGACAGTGGGTTCATATTGGAGACTACAGAGAATCTGGTCACATACCTAGCTTCTAAAATTTTCTCTAATGCCTTAGGGTCTACTCCTATGTTTCAAATCTACTAGTTATTTTAGCCTAAGTGGTACCTGGAATTTGAAAAGGGAGAAGACTGAAATAATGGAAGGAAAGATTCCTTAAGAAATATAGTTCTACATCTTTAAGAGTACAGTAACACATTCCTATTTCAAAATGGCTTCTTTTAGTATGAGTTATTTTCTCAGGCTTCTCATTTTGTCTTCTGGAGGAAACGATTTTTTGAACAGGCCTTAAAAAAGATTCTAGGGAAAAATTTTTCTCTGGGGTTAAGTGATTTAATTTTAAAAAGTAATTCCTAAATCAAGAGGATTGAAGAGAACAATAAAAAAAAAACTTTAAATTCGATTCAGGAAGCTAGAGATAAATGACTTGGTAGTGGTTAAAAAAAAGAATGCTTTGATCACTATATACTGCAAAATACAAATATATTTTCAAGATAAGATACCAATATGAAGCCTAATGGTTTTCCTCTGTAACATAACTTTTTAAGCTATGATGAAAGCAAGAGAAAGGTCAAATAATGGACAGAACTATAACTTATTGGGATGAGCTAATAATGAAGGATGGAGTGATGGCAAAAATGGCAATTCTTATCCTTCTGTTTTCTTTACCAAAGAGAATAATCCATTGACTGGGAAGGAAAGAACAAAAGTAGTTAACCAGAAGCTAAAACCAAGATAAATAGGGAATGTAAAGAAAATACCTAACTGTTCTAAAAGAATTCAAATATCAGGTACAGAAAAACATCATCCCAGGATACTGAAAGTTTTAAAATGATAGATGTGAATGACAAAAATTTTTGGAGAATGGGAGTTGAGCCACAGGACTAGAAAAGGGCAAATGTTCTAATATTCAAAGTATTCTCATATTCAATGTTCTGATATTCAAATAGAGGGTTGGGTTCTTCAATATATATAATGATGAATGTGAGTTTGATTCCTGATAAAACTCTGGAAATCATTACAAAGAGTGGTTGAGATGCAAAAGTTCAATGAAATGCCAAAGGACAGACCATAATATTTTTATACAGTTTTTTTTAAAATATTGGATGTTTTAACTTTTTTTTAAAATCTGAACCTGAGATTTCATTATGAAGAACCTTTCTCTGCCAATGCAGATCAGCAACTACTTTTCACCCTTCAGTTTTAAAGAGCTGCCTGCGGACACTTGACCAGGGTCACAGTCAGTATGTGTAGGAGACAGGGCTTGATCTTAGGTTTTCCTAATTCTAACACCCTCTTTTTATGCACTATTTTATATTGCTTCTCTTTACTTTGGATACTCATAGATAAACTGAGCTGATTGAATAAGCAAGCTATTTCATTTATTGAAGCTATTTCTGTCCTCAGAAATCTTGGATAACATAGGGGTGAAGTAAATAAAAATAAATAAAATACAAGCACATCCATTACATTAATAGGCTTCTCCAAGTAAAAGTAGGCATTAAAATAATTTGGTAGGTAAATTACTGCTAAGTTATAACTTGTCTGCTGACACATGAATTTTATGCACATTTTTCATTTTTCTATTGCTTGAAAAATGTAGTTTCCAGATACTCGGGTTACCACTGGGATATTGAATACTCATACCAATATGTCATGAACTTCTACACTTTTTATGTTTTAAGTGAAAAATGTGGGTAACACTTTATTTTAATGGTATATTAATTAGTGGTAAATTACAATGGAAATCCTATAGCAGTGCATAAAATATGACATCTACATGAATATCAAATAAATTCATTATGATCAGTATTATCACAATGAATACTAAATGAATTAATAATGATGAAAGATCAAAAGAATTACCAGTAGTGTAATAAAACATGAAGAAAAAGCTGGAAGCTTCTAGTCATTTAATCACCAACTAGAAATAAGTACCATAACCCACATAACACTGTATTTGTGAATGTGAATCTTTAACAGTCATAAGTTTACTGAACATAAATATAATAAAAACACAGCTAAACACATACAACTATGTTCACTTACTGATTCAGAACTGGAAAGGAAATTTTGAACTCTCTAGTCTAACCCCCTCATTTTACAGATGAGGAAACTGAAGCCTCGTGAGTGGAAGTGACTTATCCAAGGTCAGACAAGTAAATAGAGACCAGAGTTGGGAATTGAGCCCAGATCTTCTGTCACATAAGGTTAAAAATATTATGATTCTGTTGTTCAGAACACCCTCAAACTGTATGATCATGGACCAAAAAAGAATATTTGGTGCTTAATCAATTTATGAATGTTTACTCAACATTTATAAACATATTTGAGGAATTGTATAAGCCAATTTTGTGTAAAAAAAAGTCATTTTTTTCTTTGTTTCTTTGTTTGTTTTACTGGTTGTTGTTTTTGCCCTTCACCTTAGCCTGGTCTAGGGAAAGAACATCAGACAAGGAAGCAGAAGTTGTGGGATTGTCATGGGCATAGCCCCGAGACTGTGGTTATCACTTCTCTCTGAACCCCAGTTGACTCAATTATAAAATGGAGATAATAATAACTATATTACCTACCTGACAGTGTGGCTTTGAGGAAAGTGTTTTGCAAACTGTAACATAATATAGAAATGTGAGTTATTGTTATTATCAGGGCTTAAATGTTAAATGCCTGAAAGATTCTGAAATTAGTAGTTCCTTAAAGTTAGGAACTATAACTAACCAATATTCTAAACTTTAAGAAATCCCGTAATAGAACTTTTCAGCTCAAAATAACAGAATCTTGGAGTTGAAAGGGATCTAAGAGGTCAATTGTTGACAGTGGCTCAATAGTGACATCTCCCTTTTGGGGGGGACAGGGAGATGTGACCAAGATGCAGCTGGGTCAAGTGACTTGAAATCATTAATGGCTCTCTTTCCACTCAATTCAAACAGTGGGTCTATCCCTTCTTTGATCCTCTTCTTCCCCTGATGTAGTTTTTAAAACCCTTTTTTTTTCTTGCTTAGCTTTCTTCACCAGCATCAGGTCATTGTGAGCCTTAGCACTTTAGATACTATTTTTAAATGACCATACACTATTGCGCATTTGTATTCCTTTGCCTGTCCTATCCTCTGCCTTCTATACACTTTTTTCCTTTACATCTTAAAGTTAGTTGGAGTTCTCTGCACAACCATATCCTCTCTTCAGACAACTCCTCACAGAAATTGTTTCTCTTTGTGTTTTCAGAATTTAATTTTTTTAAAGTGTTCAATCCCTCATAGACTGACTACCTCTGTAATATTTTAGGTTGTGAGATTCTAGCTATTCTTTCTGATTTAGATTTGCTCTCTTAACCCTTCCTCTATCACAATTTCTAAGTTGGAATGGTCATTCCCCTCAAGAATCCTAGCATCCTCATTCTAATCACTAGCTGCTTCTTGGTGAAATCTCATCTGGAATTAAATTTCTCTTTTCTCTACCTTTTAAAAGATGAAGTTATTATTAAGGTAAGTTAGAAAATGATCAGCAGTTTTCCTTTGAAGATAGAGAGAGGGAGGGAAGAAGGAGGAAGAGAAAGGCAAAGAGGAGAAGAAGAAAAAAGAAGAAAAGGAGGAGGAAGAAGTAGAGGAGAAGGAGGAACAGGAAAAAGAGGACCCTATAAGCAGATTAATGAATAAATGAAGTCTCCAATCACTACCA